CACAAGAAGAAAACCATGATGTAATAGCAATCACAGAAACAAAATTCTAAGGCATCATAACAAATGCAGTTTCCACAGGATTACTATATAGTAAAAAAGAGAGCGAGTGAAGAGGAGGAGAAGAATTGGCTCTGCTAATAAGGAAGGCATGGAGTTTCAAAGAGATGGACATCACAAGATGTGAAAATTTCAGTGACTATGCAGCAGGCACTATGGCAAGTGCCATTATCACCAAGGATAATGGGAGTAGTAATATATAACCCTCCGTTAAATGACAAAAGTCCCAGACAGGAGTATGACAGGAACCACATGACAACCATGTACATAATAGAGAGCGTGGCTTCTATTGCCTGTAGGAAGAACTCTAAACTGTAGACCATGGGTGGTTTCAACCAACGAAAGGTAAACTTGAAAATAGAGAACCACACGGAAACAGAAACATGGAGAGCTAAACTATTAGATGTGGCGACAAGAAACTTTCTATGCCAACATGACAAGGGGCCTCAATGATGAACCAGCCAGACGTGATCTAGTATTCACCCTGAACGAGTCAGACATAAAGGAACTCAAATCAGAACACCCCCCCCCCCATAGGCATGAGTGACCACCGACCCTAACATTTAAGTATCTGGTGGAAGTGGGATTAACCTATCCAAGGAAAGGACCGAAAAGTAAAGAGCTGGAATACCGAAGGAAAATCTATGATGAGATTACAAAATAATTTCTAATAGGAATACCATACGAGACAGAACTCAGTGGAAAGTCTGTACAGTTTTTGAAGGACTGTATCACCCAGAAGTGTCAGGAGGCAGAAAACAGGTTTATCTTGGCCCAGAAGGAATAACAGAAAAGCAAAGGCGGAAACCGTGGTTCCTTCAGGCATGTAAGGAAGCAAGGCAGCTAAATACAAGGGCAGTGAGAAAATTAAGAAATAACAGGACACCAGAGAGCAGAGAGAAAGAAATACCAGAGGACCAGAAATGGGTAGCTCAGTGTGAGGAGAGAAGCAGAGAATCAGTTTGAAAATGACATAACAAATACAGCTAACACCCAATCAAACCTGCTCAACAGCCACATCAGGAGGAAAACAACAGTGGCAGAACAGATGATGAAACTAAAAAAGGGAGAGGATGGGTACATAGAGGATGACAAAGAGGTGTATGAAGAACTCAACAAGATATTCCAGTAGGTCTTCACAATAGAGCAAGGGAAAGTCCCTGAACTAAGAGGGGTGGTGATAAATCAAACAGACTTGGAAGATATCGAAATTATCAGAGATGAGGTTCGGAGGGATCTGCTTGATCTAGAAATAACTAAGGCTGTTGGACCTGATGGAATCTCACCATGGCTGCTTAAAGAGGGGGCAGAAGTGCTGCGTGACACTATCTATGATCTATAACAAGTCACTGGTAACGGGAGACCTACCAGAGAGTTTGTAGACACCTAACACAGTACCAATCAACAAAACGGGGGATAGGAAGAAGGCCCTAAATTTACTACAGGCCAGTGTCCTTAACTCGTATACCATGCAGTGTGATGGAGAAGATCGTGAGAAAAAGCCTGGTAGCCCATATGGAGAGAAGGGACTTTGTAACACATCACAAGCATCAAAAGGATATCATCAGCGGCATATGCTAGATTGGCCAACATAAGAACTGCCTTTAGAAATTTGTGTAAGGAATCGTGCAGGACACTGAATACCACTTATGTCAGACAAATCCTGGCGTATGAAGCTCCAGCCTAGAGTCCGTACCTAGTTAAACACAAGACAAAGTTAGAGAAGATTCAGAGGTATGCCACCAGACTAGTTCCAGTAAGTTGAAGAATGAGCTACGAGTAAAGGCTACGGGAGCTAATCCTCACGTCCCTAGAAGAAAGAAGAGAAAGGGAGAGACATGATAACCACTTAAAAAATTCTCAGGGGAATTGTCAGGGTGAACAAATGCAAACTATTTAGTACGGGTGGAACACGAACAAGGGGGGACACAGCAGAAAACGTAGTACCCAAGTGAGCCATAGAGACATTAAAAAGAATTTTTCAGTGTCAGAGTTTTTAACAATTAGAATGCATTAGGCAGTGATGTGTTGGAGGCAGATTACATACACAGTTTCAAATGTAGATATGATAGAGCGCAATAGGTTCCAGACTCTGTACACCAGTTGGTTGACAGTTGAGAGGCGGGACCTAAGAGCTAAAGCTCAACCCTCGCAAGCACAACTAAGTGAGTACAACTAGGTGAGGACTCGCTTACCGTAATTGTCCCCCCCCCACCCCAGACCCTCTCAGCGACACCACCCAAGACCCTCTCAGCCACACCACCTCAGACCCTGCTAGCCTCCAAATACCAGATCCTACCAGGGCCCCCCCCCCCCCTCCCCACTCCAGAACCACCTTCCTAAGCCCCTCCCATCCAGGACTGTCTATACCCCGTAACCTCAGTCCCTCCCTGTTCCATTATTCCAATGGAATCAAAGGAAACTGATGATAGACAGAAGAGAGTCAGCTTGAAGGTAATATATTCGAACATAGATGGGATTACAAACAAGGAAAGTGAACTTTGGGAAAAATCGCTTGAAATGAACCTAGATGTAATAGGACTCACAGAAATAAACCTCTCAGGAATCATAACGAATGTGGTGCTTCCCCAGGACCACACTGTAATAAGGAAAGAGAAGGAAGGAAGAGATGTAGGCAAAGAGAAAGAAATGAAATTTCAAGATGATGATTATCTCAGGCTGCGACGGGTTTAGAAACTACATAACAGGCACTATGACGACGGGAATAGTAGAAGAAGCAGTGATATATATAACCCTACACCAAATGACAGAAGACCCAATTTCGGAAGGGAAACTATGAGGAGATAAGAAAATTTCTAACATATATATAACATGGGAAACAGAGCTCAGAGGAAACACGGCCCAAGACATGATGGACTACATCACGAGAAAGTATAAGGAGGCAGCAGAAAGGTTTCTCCCAGTACAAAAGGAAATAACAGATTGCCGATAAGAAACCCATGGTTTTATCAGGGATGTATGCTTGTAAAGAAACTAAGTACAAGGACGTGGAGAAACTATAGAAATAACGGGACACCAGATAGCAGAGAAAGATAACAGAGAGACAGAATTGAGTAGGTCAGGATGAGAAGAGAGGCAGAAAAACAATAAGAAAATCATATAGCAAGTTATCAAAGCAAAGGCACATCAGTAGAAAAACAACAGCGAAGATCCGATAATGAAACTGAGGATAGGGGCAGACAGATTCACTACAAACGACAAGGAAGTGTGCGAGTAACTCAATAAGAAATTCTGCGAGATTTTCATATTAGAGCAAGGAGAAGTAACAGAGATAAGTGAGGGAATATCTAACAAGGCACCACTGGAGGAGTTTGAGATTACCAGTGGGGAGGTAAGAAAGCATTTTGTAGATCTGGATGTGACAAAGGTTATCGGCTGGAATCTGGAATGTAGGATAGAATCTCATTATGGATACTAAAGGAAGGAGCAAAAGTACTGTGCCTGCCACTCTCAATGGTGTATAACAAATCACTGGTAACAGAGAAACTGCCAAAAATTTGGAAGGCGCCTAATGTAGTCCCGATATTCAAGAAGGATGATAGACATGAGGCACTGAACTACAGGCCAGTGTCCCTAACATGCATACCATGAAAGGTAATAGAGAAAGTTAAGAAAAAACCTACTGGAACATCTGGAGCGAAAAAACTTTGTAACATAGCATTAGTATGTGTTAAGGATGGCAAATCTTGCCTCACATGATTAATTGGATTCTATGACCAGGCAACAATAATCAGACAAGAAGGAGATGGGTGGGCAGACTGCATATTTGTGGATTGTCAGAAAGCCTTTGGCACAGTATCCCATAAGAAACTAGTGCACAAGCTGAAGATGCAGGCAGGAGTGAAAGAGAAAGTACTTAATATCATAGGGGAGTACCTAAGCAACAGAATACAGCGAGTCATTGTGAGGGGTGAAGTCTCAGAGTGGCGAGGCATCACCAATGGAGTCCCACAGAGATCAGTCCTTGGACCTATACTGTTTCTGATATATGTAAATCATCACCCAGAGGGGATAGACTCGTTCCTCTAAATGTTTGTTGATGATGCAAACATTATGGGGAGGATTAAGACAGAGGAAGATAATGTGAGGCTACAAAATGAACTAGACAAACTGAAGGAATGATCCAACAAATGACCACTAAAGTTCAGCCCAAGTAAATGTAAGGTAGTGGAACTATATGAAGGGAACAGGAGGCTAGACACAGGATACCGAATGGGTTATCTTGAGATGATTTCGGGGCTTTAGTGTCACCGCGGCCCGGTCCTCGACCAGGCCTCCACCCCCAGGAAGCAGCCCGTGACAGCTGACTAACACCCAGGTACCTATTTTACTGCTAGATAACAGGGGCATAGGGTGAAAGAAACTCTGCCCATTGTTTCTCGCCAGCGTCCGGGATCGAACCCGGGACCACAGGATCACAAGTCCAGCGTGCTGTCCGCTCGGCCGACCGGCTCCCCATCTCATGGGAGATGAAGTATTTCTTGAAACGGTCATAGGAAAGATCTAGGAGTTGATATCACACCAAATCAGTATCCTGAAGCCCACGTCAAAGGAATATTATCAGTAGCGTATGCATGGCTGGATAACATTGAACTGCCTTCAGAAACCAGTGTAAAGAATCATTCAGAATCTTTTTTAGAGGTTCTGAAAGAAGCTTTAGAAAGTTCAGAGGTATGCCACTAGGCTAGCCCCAGAACTAAGATATATAAGTTACGTGGAAAGGCTGTGTGGACTGCAACGAAGGACGGGCCAAGGTGTGTCCACGCAGAGTTGGAAAACTGCTTACACAAAATAAAATCACCTATCACCTGTTCCACAAAAGCTTAAAAAAAAGTGAACAACCATATTAGTCCTGATCCATCACCATACAGTACTCTCAGTCTACATTAATATGATTACAGGGCCCGTAGACCAATAAATATACAGAAACCTGGAGACGAACCGAACGAGTTCGTCCTTAACAGAAATCTACAGACCAATGACATTGACGCCGGGCGCCGGACCGTGTCAATGCCATTGAATTCTATGCCAACATTACAAACATAACCATCAAGTTCTCTTTCAAACATTCTAACTCATATAACTAAATTTACAACTCAAAAGATCCTTGAGCATACACAGATGTAATGAGCATCACAATATACAACTCACAATATCAAATGGTATAAGCAAATAAGCACACAATGAAGAATATAATTATATACAAAGATTCCAATTTACTCGACTGGACAATACTTAATCTCGGCAGGAAAGCAAAGAGGGGGGGGGGGAGTTAAGGTGTAATAACCCGTCCTGCTCTTCCCCTTTACTCACTCAATACCCCAACTTAACACTGCTTGCAGATCACTGTGACCCTCAATGAACTAGCAGTTAATATTGAGATTAAAATATTAAATGAGGGGGAAGCAACAAAAGAAGGGATTATTAATTTAAAGATAATGAATAAACACTTAATTGTACACTGCCACCACCTTCCTGATACCACCTGAATGTGTCTATTACTAATCTCCCAGGAAGGACAGGAATCAACAAACATAAATAAACTCAGCATAATCAATAAACATAAATTAACTCAGAGGGCGTAGGAATCTTGATAATAATGCTTGGGGAAATAGAAATCTTACTTTACTAATTTAGATTCAAGGGCAACTTTAATATCCACAAAACTGGAGGAGCACACAGGGGACTTCCAAATACCATACATATATACTACATATAAAAAGGACTCAGCATTAATAACAAAAAGAACCGAGATAACCAAACAACAAAATACATTATTAACTTTATTTAATTAAAACATGTATATTTAAACTCAAATTAAAAATATATCTCCTACTCTAATAAAACATTACTAAGAGGCAAATGAAATCTACCGATGGACATGAATACTCAAGAGCACAATACCTGAACTGTAATACCGGCTCGAGATGTCTATGGCTTCCCCAGGCCCTGAAGGGACCTATCTCCAGTCGCTCCCAAAGACACACTAACGGATATATTCTTAACAAGCTATCAGTGGAAAACAAGCTCCACCCACTCTAAACTTCCTAGGCCCAAATAAGCCCAGCCTTTCCAAGCCTGTAGCCAATGAGTTCAAAAACTTATTCTAAGCCAGCCAAATGCCCTATCTCCGCCCACCTAGGCCTCCCTGGCTAGGCTAGCCCATAAGGGTCTGTTTCTCTTGACAGAAACCTTGCTCGTTCCCACGCTATATCCAGGAAACCGGGCCAGAGAGAATATGACACCAGCCACCCAACGAAATTTGAAAACCACAGTTTATTGGCCCTGAGTGAACTGCCCCTCAGTTCGTCACTGGCTATAGCGAAGGCAGGGGAGAGGGGAAAGAGTGGGGGATAGAGAGGGAAATGAGTGGGAATGGAGTGGTCACGGAGAGGGCCAAGAGAGGGTCCTCTTGACTAAGAGTAGTTTATGGCAGGAATCACAGCTCGACAACATAGGAGGGGAAAAGGGAAGGGGCATGAGTCAACGGGGGAGCGGGCGAATGAAAAAGGGCACGAGGAAGGGGAGAATGAGAAGAAGGAGAAAGGAGAGAAAGGGAGGAGGGGAGAAAGGGGCGAAGGGGAGAGGGGAGAAGACAAAAACTGAGCACAGTTCATTACAAAGGGGGAGAGGGAGGATTCAAATGAATTTAGCCTAGTCGGCCTGCTCAACAGTTAGCACTCTTCTTTAACACAATACTCATCAAAACATAGTTAAACAATAATGAAAGTATAATATACTATAATACAACATGATCTCATAACCCTGCCCAAGAGTATATATCAGGACAATATAAGGCATTTCCATATATCAATCAACCAATAGTAGTCTACTTCGCTTAACATCCAATTAATAGGGTATATAATAATACATAGGAAAGTGATACACATAGTACAGTGATACATAGAACCTATGAACATAATAGTGTAACAAATATAAGCAAAATCCATTTATAATGGTGTTACTATGTTACGAAGTATTATATCATTTAAAGGTAAGATCACAGCGCATACCATTCATACTGGTGTATGCTGGATCATTACCAGCCCATCTCTGCTTCACAGCCCATCTCTGCTTCTCAGCCCATCTCTGCTTCTCAGCCCATCTCTGCTTCTCAGCCCATCTCTGCTTCTCAACCCATCTTTGTTTCTTAGCTCATCTCTGCTTCTCAGCCCATCTTTGCTCCTCAGCCCATCTTTGCTTCTCAGCCCATCTTTGCTTCTCAGCCCATCTCTGCTTCTCAGCCCATCTTTGTTTCTTAGCTCATCTCTGCTTCTCAGCCCATCTTTGCTTCTCAGCCCATCTCTGCTTCTCAGCCCATCTTTGCTTCTCAGACCATCTCTGCTTCACAGCCCATCTCTGCTTCTCAACCAATTTCTGCTTCTCTGACCATCCCTGCTTCACAGCCCATCTATGCTTCTCAGCCCATCTCTGCTTCTCAGCCCATCATTGCTTCTCAGACCATCTCTGCGTCACAGCCCATCTCTGCTTCTCAACCCATTTCTGCTTCTCGGACCATCCCTGCTTCACAGCCCATTTCTGCTTTTCAGCCCATCTCTGCTTCTCAGCCCATCTTTGCTTCTCAGCCCATCTCTGCTTCTCAGCCCATCTCTGCTTCTCAGCCCATCTTTGCTTCTCAGCCCATCTCTGCTTCTCAGCCCATCTTTGCTTCTCAGCCCATCTCTGCTTCTCAGCCCATCTTTGCTTCTCAGCCCATCTCTGCTTCTCAGCCCATCTTTGCTTCTCAGACCATCTCTGCGTCACAGCCCATCTCTGCTTCTCAACCCATTTCTGCTTCTCTGACCATCCATGCTTCACAGCCCATTTCTGCTTTTCAGCCCATCTCTGCTTCTCAGCCCATCTTTGCTTCTCAGCCCATTTCTGCTTTCAGCCCATCTCTGCTTCTCAGCCCATCTTTGCTTCTCAGCCCATCTTTGCTGCTTCTTCAGCCCATCTCTGCTTCTCAGCCCATCTCTGCTTCTCTTCTCAGCCCATCTTGCTTCTCAGCTTCTCAGCCCATCTTTGCTCTCTGCTTCTCAGCCCATCTTTGCTTCTCAGCCCATCTTTGCTTCTCACAGCCCATCTCTGCTTCTTCAGCCCATCTCTGCTTCTCAGCCCATCTTTGCTTCTCAGCCCATCTTTGCTTCTCAGCCCATCTTTGCTTCTCAGCCCATTTTTGCTTCCCCATCTTTGCTTCTCAGCCCATCTTTGCTTCTCTCAGCCCATCTCTGCTTCTCAGCCCATCTTTGCTTCTCAGCCCATCTCTGCTTCTCAGCCCATCTTTGCTTCTCAGCCCATCTTTGCTTCTCAGCCCATCTTTGTTTCTCAGCCCATCTCTGCTTCTCAACCCATCTTTGCTTCTCAACCCATATTTGCTTCTCAGCCCATCTCTGCTTCACAGCCCATCTTTGCTTCTCAGCCCATCTTTGCTTCTCAGCCCATCTCTGCTTCTCAGCCCATCTCTGCTTCTCAGCCCATCTTTGCTTCTCAGCCCATCTTTGCTTCTCAGCCCATTTTTGCTTCTCAGCCCATCTTTGCTTCTCAATCCATATTTGCTTCACAGCCCATCTCTGCTTCACAGCCCACTTTTGCTTCTCAGCCCATCTTTGCTTCTCAGCCCATCTCTGCTTCTCAGCCCATCTCTGCTTCTCAGCCCATCTTTGCCCATCTTTGCTTCTCAGCCCATCTTTGCTTCTCAGCCCATCTCTGCTACACAGCCCATCTCAGCTCAGCCCATCTTCGCTTCTGAACCCATCTTTGCTTCTCAGCTTCTCTTCTCAGCCCATCTCTGCTTCATAGCCCATCTCTGCTTCACAACCCATCTTTTCTTCTCAGCCCATCTCTGCTACACAGCCATTCTCTGCTTCTCAGCCCATCTTCGCTTCTGAACCCATCTTTGTTTCTCAGCCCATCTCTGCTTCTCCGCCCATCTCTGCTTCTCAGCCCATCTTTTCTTCTCAGCCCATCTTTGCTTCTCAGCCCATCTTTTCTTCTCATCCCATCCTTGCTACACAGCCCATCTCTGCTTCTCAGCCCATCTTCGCTTCTGAACCCATCTTTGCTTCTCAGCTCATCTCTGTTTCTCAGCCCATCTTTGCTTCTCAGCCCATCTCTGCTTCTCAGCACATCTTTGCTTCTCGGCCCATCTCTGCTTCATAGCCCATCTCTGCTTCACAACCCATCTTTGCTTATCAGCCCATCTCTGCTTCTCAGTCCATCTCTGCTTCTCAGACCATCTCTGCTTCTCAGCCCATCTTTGTTTCTCAGTTCATCTCTGCTTCTCAGCCCATCTTTACTTCTCAGCCCATCTCTGCTTCTCAGACAATCACTGCTTCTCAGCCCATCTTTGCTTCTCAGCCCATCTCTGCTTCTAAGCCCATCTCTGTTTCTCAGTCCATCTCTGCTTCTCAGACCATCTATGCTTCTCAGCCCATCTTTCTTTCTCAACTCATCTCTGCTTCTCAGCCCATCTTTGCTTCTAAGCCCATCTCTGCTTCTCAGCCTATCTTTGCTTCTCAGCCCATCTTTACTTCTCAGCCCATCTCTGCTTCTCAGCCCATCTTTGCTTCTCAGCCCAACTTTACTTCTCAGCCCATCTCTGCTTCTCAGCCCATCTTTGCTTCTCAACCCATATTTGCTTCTCAGCCCATCTCTGCTTCTCAGCCCATCTTTTCTTCTCAGCCCATCTTTGCTTCTCAACCCATTTTTTCTTCTCATCCCATCTCTGCTACACAGCTCATCTCTGCTTCTCAGCCCATCTTCGCCTCTGAACCCATCTTTGCTTCTCAGCCCATCTCTGCTTCTCAGCCCATCTCTGCTTCTCAGCCCATCTCTGCTTCATAGTCCATCTCTTCTTCACAACCCATCTTTGCTTCTCAGCCCATCTTTGCTTCTCAATCCATCTCTGCTTCTCAGCCCATCTTTGCGTCTCAGCCCATCTTTGCTTCTCAGACCATCTCTGCTTCTCACCCCATCTTTGCTTCTCAGCCCATCTTTGCTTCTCAGACCATCTCTGCTTCTCAGCCCATCTTTTCTTCTCAAACCATCTTTGCTTCTCAGCCCATCCCTGCTTCTCAGCCCATCTCTGCTTCTCAGCCTATCTTTGCTTCTCAGCCCATCTCTGCTTCTCAGCCCATTTTTGCTTCTCGGCCCATCTCTGCTTCATAGCCCATCTCTGCTTCACAACCCATCTTTGCTTCTCAGCCCATTTTTGCTTCTCAATCCATCTCTGCTTCTCAGCCCATCTTTGCTTCTCAAAAAATTTCTGCTTCTCAGCCCATCTTTGTTTCTCAGCTCATCTCTGCTTCTCAGCCCATCTTTGCTTCTCAGCCCATCTCTGCTTCTCAGACATTCTTTGTTTCTCAACCCATCTCTGCTTCACAGCCCATCTCTGCTTCACAACCCATCTTTGCTTCTCTGACCATCCCTGCTTCACAGCCCATCTCTCCTTCTCAGCCCATCTCTGCTTCTCAGCCCATATCTGCTTCTCAGCACATCTCTGCTTTTCAGACCATCTCTGCTTCTCAGCTCATTTTTGTTTCTCAGCTCATCTCTGATTCTCAATCCATCTCTGCTTCTCAGACCATCTTTGCTTCTCAGCCCATCTCTGCTTCTCAGCCCATCTCTGCTTCTCAGACCATCTCTGTTTCTCATCCCATCTCTGTTTCTCAAACCATTTCTGCTTCTCAGCCCATCTTTTTTTCCCAGCTCATCTCTGCTTCTCAGCCCATCTTTGCTTCTTTCTCAGCCCATCTCTGCTTCTCAGACATTCTTTGTTTCTCAGCCCATCTCTGCTTCACAGCCCATCTCTGCTTCACATCCCATCTTTGCTTCTCTGACCATCCCTGCTTCACAGCCCATCTCTGCTTCTCAGCCCATCTCTGCTTCTCAGTCCATCTCTGCTTCTCAGCACATCTCTGCTTTTCAGACCATCTCTGCTTCTCAGCTCATTTTTGTTTCTCAGCTCATCTCTGATTCTCAGCCCATCTTCGCTTCTCAGCCCATCTCTACTTCACAACCCATCTTTGCTTCTCAGCCCATCTTTGTTTCTCAGCCCATCTCTGCTTCTCAACCCATCTTTGCTTCTCAACCCATATTTGCTTCTCAGCCCATCTCTGCTTCACAGCTCATATTTGCTTCTCGGTCCATCTTTGCTTCTCAACCCATCTTTGCTTCACAGCCCATCTCTGCTTCACAGCCCATCTTTGCTTTTCAACCCATCTTTGATTCTCAGCCCATCTCTGCTTCACAGCCCATCTTTGCTTCTCAGTCCATCTCTGTTTCACACCCCATCTCTGCTTCTCAACCAATTTCTGCTTCTCGGACCATCTTTGCTTCTCAGGACATCTTGTCTTCTCATCCCATCTCTGCTACACAGCCCATCTCTGCTTCTCAGCCCATCTTCGCTTCTGAACCCATCTTTACTTCTCAGCCCATCTCTGCCTCTCAGCCCATCTCTGCTTCATTGCCCATCTCTGCTTCACAACCCATTTTTGTTTTCAGCTCATCTCTGCTTCTCAGCCCATCTTTGCTTCTCAGCCCATCTCTGCTTCTCAGCACATCTTTGCTTCTCGGCCCATCTCTGCTTCATAGCCCATCTCTGCTTCTCAGTCCATCTCTGCTTCTCAGACCATCTCTGCTTCTCAGCCCATCTTTGTTTCTCAGCTCATCTCTGCTTCTCAGCCCATCTTTGCTTCTCAGCCCATCTCTGCTTCTCAGACATTCTCTGCTTCTCAGTCCATCTCTGCTTCTCAGCCCATCTCTGCTTCTAAGCTCATCTCTGCTTCTCAGTCCATCTCTGCTTCTCAGACCATCTCTGCTTCTCAGCCCATCTTTCTTTCTCAGCTTATCTCTGCTTCTCAGCCCATCTTTGCATCTAAGCCCATCTCTGCCTCTCAGCCTATCTTTGCTTCAAAGCCCATCTCTGCTTCTCAACCCATTTTTGCTTCTCTGCCCATCTCTGCTTCATAGCCCATCTTTGCTTCACAACCCATTTTTGCTTCTCAGCCCATCTCTGCTTCTCAGTCCATCTTTGCCTCTCAGCCCATCTCTGCTTCTCAGCCCATCTCTGCTTCTCAGCCCATCTTTTCTTCTCAGCCCCTCTTTGCTTCTCAGCCCATCTTTTCTTCTCATTCCATCTCTGCTACACAGCCCATCTCTGCTTCTCAGCCCATCTTCGCTTCTGAACCCATCTTTGCTTCTCAGCCCATCTCTGCTTCTCAGCCCATCTCTGCTTCATAGCCCATCTCTGCTTCACAACCCATTTTTGTTTTCAGCTCATCTCTGTTTCTCACCCCATCTTTGCTTCTCAGCCCATCTTTGCTTCTCAGCACATCTTTGCTTCATAGCCCATCTCTGCTTCACAACCCATCTTTGCTTCTCAGCCCATCTCCGCTTCTCAGTCCATCTCTGCTTCTCAGACCATCCCTGCTTCTCAGCCCATCTTTGTTTCTCAGCTCATCTCTGCTTCTCAGCCCATCTTTGCTTCTCAGCCCATCTCTGCTTCTCAGACAATCTCTGCTTCTCAGCCCATCTCTGCTTCTCAGCCCATCTCTGCTTCTAAGCCCATCTCTGCTTCTCAGTCCATCTCTGCTTCTCAGACCATCTCTGCTTCTCAGCCCATCTTTCTTTCATATCTCATCTCTGCTTCTCAGCCCATCTTTGCTTCTAAGCCCATCTCTGCTTCTCAGCCTATCTTTGCTTCTCAGCCCATCTTTACTTCTCAGCCCATCTCTGCTTCTCAGCCCATCTTTGCTTCTCAGCCCATCTCTGCTTCTCAGCACATCTTTGCTTCTCGGCCCATCTCTGCTTCATAGCCCATCTCTGCTTCTCAGTCCATCTCTGCTTCTCAGACCATCTCTGCTTCTCAGCCCATCTTTGTTTCTCAGCTCATCTCTGCTTCTCAGCCCATCTTTGCTTCTCAGCCCATCTCTGCTTCTCAGACATTCTCTGCTTCTCAGTCCATCTCTGCTTCTCAGCCCATCTCTGCTTCTAAGCTCATCTCTGCTTCTCAGTCCATCTCTGCTTCTCAGACCATCTCTGCTTCTCAGCCCATCTTTCTTTCTCAGCTTATCTCTGCTTCTCAGCCCATCTTTGCTTCTAAGCCCATCTCTGCCTCTCAGCCTATCTTTGCTTCAAAGCCCATCTCTGCTTCTCAACCCATTTTTGCTTCTCTGCCCATCTCTGCTTCATAGCCCATCTTTGCTTCACAACCCATTTTTGCTTCTCAGCCCATCTCTGCTTCTCAGTCCATCTTTGCCTCTCAGCCCATCTCTGCTTCTCAGCCCATCTCTGCTTCTCAGCCCATCTTTTCTTCTCAGCCCCTCTTTGCTTCTCAGCCCATCTTTTCTTCTCATTCCATCTCTGCTACACAGCCCATCTCTGCTTCTCAGCCCATCTTCGCTTCTGAACCCGTCTTTGCTTCTCAGCCCATCTCTGCTTCTCAGCCCATCTCTGCTTCATAGCCCATCTCTGCTTCACAACCCATTTTTGTTTTCAGCTCATCTCTGTTTCTCAGCCCATCTTTGCTTCTCAGCCCATCTCTGCTTCTCAGCACGTCTTTGCTTCATAGCCCATCTCTGCTTCACAACCCATCTTTGCTTCTCAGCCCATCTCCGCTTCTCAGTCCATCTCTGCTTCTCAGACCATCCCTGCTTCTCAGCCCATCTTTGTTTCTCAGCTCATCTCTGCTTCTCAGCCCATCTTTGCTTCTCAGCCCATCTCTGCTTTTCAGACAATCTCTGCTTCTCAGCCCATCTCTGCTTCTCAGCCCATCTCTGCTTCTAAGCCCATCTCTGCTTCTCAGTCCATCTCTGCTTCTCAGACCATCTCTGCTTCTCAGCCCATCTTTCTTTTATATCTCATCTCTGCTTCTCAGCCCATCTTTGCTTCTAAGCCCATCTCTGCTTCTCAGCCTATCTTTGCTTCTCAGCCCATCTTTACTTCTCAGTCAATCTCTGCTTCTCAGACCATCTTTGCTTCTCAGTCCATCTCTGCTTCTCAGACCATCTCTGCTTCTCAGCCCATCTTTGTTTCTCAGCTCATCTCTGCTTCTCAGCCCATCTTTGCTTCTCAGCCCATCTCTGCTTCTCAGACAATCTCTGCTTCTCAGTCCATCTCTGCTTCTCAGCCCATCTCTGCTTCTAAGCTCATCTCTGCTTCTCAGTCCATCTCTGCTTCTCAGACCATCTCTGCTTCTCAGCCCATCTTTCTTTCTCAGCTTATCTCTGCTTCTCAGCCCATCTTTGCTTCTAAGCCCATCTCTGCTTCTCAGCCTATCTTTGCTTCAGAGCCCATCTCTGCTTCTCAACCCATTTTTGCTTCTCTGCCCATCTCTGCTTCATAGCCCATCTTTGCTTCACAACCCATTTTTGCTTCTCAGCCCATCTCTGCTTCTCAGTCCATCTCTGCTTCTCAGACCATCTCTGCTTCTCAGCCCATCTTTGTTTCTCAGCTCATCTCTGCTTATCAGCCCATCTTTGCCTCTCAGCCCATCTCTGCTTCTCAGCCCATCTCTGCTTCTCAGCCCATCTTTTCTTCTCAGCCCATCTTTGCTTCTCAGCCCGTCTTTTCTTTTCATTCCATCTCTGCTACACAGCCCATCTCTGCTTCTCAGCCCATCTTCGCTTCTGAACCCATCTTTGCTTCTCAGCCCATCTCTGCTTCTCAGCCCATCTCTGCTTCATAGCCCATCTCTGCTTCACAACCCATTTTTGTTTTCAGCTCATCTCTGTTTCTCAGCCCATCTTTGCTTCTCAGCCCATCTCTGCTTCTCAGCACATCTTTGCTTCTCAGCCCATCTCCGCTTCTCAGTCCATCTCTGCTTCTCAGACCATCCCTGCTTCTCAGCCCATCTTTGTTTCTCAGCTCATCTCTGCTTCTCAGCCCATCTTTGCTTCTCAGCCCATCTCTGCTTCTCAGACAATCTCTGCTTCTCAGCCCATCTCTGCTTCTCAGCCCATCTCTGCTTCTAAGCCCATCTCTGCTTCTCAGTCCATCTCTGCTTCTCAGACCATCTCTGCTTCTCAGCCCATTTTTCTTTCTCATCTCATCTCTGCTTCTCAGCCCATCCTTGCTTCTAAGCCCATCTCTGCTTCTCAGCCCATCTTTGTTTCTCAGCTCATCTCTGCTTCTCAGCCCATCTTTGCTTCTCAGCCCATCTCTGCTTCTCAGCCCATCTCTGCTTCTCAGCCCATCTTTGCTTCTAAGCCCATCTCTGCTTCTCAGCCTATCATTGCTTCTAAGCCCATCTCTGCTTCTCAACCCATTTTCGCTTCTCTGCCTATCTCTGCTTCATAGCCCATCTTTACTTCACAACCCATCTTTGCTTCTCAGCCCATCTTTGCTTCTCAGTCCATCTCTGCTTCTCAGCCCATCTTTGCTTCTCAGCCCATCTCTGCTTCTCAGCCCATCTCAGCTTCTCAGACCATCTCTGTTTCTCAGCCCATTTTTGTTTCTCAGCCCATCTTTGCTTCACAACCCATCTTTGCTTCTCAGCCCATCTCTGCTTCTCAGTCCATCTCTGCTTCTCAGCCCATCTTTGCGTCTCAGCCCAACTCAGCTTCTCAGCCCATCTCTGCTGCTCAGACCATCTCTGCTTTTTACCCCATCTTTGTTTCTCAGCCCATCTCTGTTTCTCAAACCATCTCTTCTTCTCAGCCCATCTTTGTTTCTCAGCTCATCTCTGCTTCTCAGCTCATCTCTGCTACACAGCCCATCTCTGCTTCTCAGCCCATCTCTGTTTCTCAACCCATCTCTGCTTCTCAGCCCATCTTTGTTTCTCAGCCCATCTTTGCTTCTCAGCTCATCTCTGCTACACAGCCCATTTCTGCTTCTCAGCCCATCTCTGCTTCTCAGCCCATCTTTGCTTCTAAGCCCATCTCTGCTTCTCAGCCTATCTTTGCTTCTAAGCCCATCTCTACTTCTCAACCCATTTTCGCTTCTCTGCCTATCTCTGCTTCACAGCCCATCTTTGCTTCACAACCCATCTTTGCTTCTCAGCCCATCTTTGCTTCTCAGTCCATCTCTGCTTCTCAGCCCATCTTTGCTTCTCAGCCCATCTCTGCTTCTCAGCCCATCTCTGCTTCTCAGCCCATCTCTGCTTCATAGCCCATCTCTGCTTCACAACCCATTTTTGTTTTCAGCTCATCTCTGTTTCTCAGCCCATCTTTGCTTCTCAGCCCATCTCTGCTTCTCAGCACGTCTTTGCTTCATAGCCCATCTCTGCTTCACAACCCATCTTTGCTTCTCAGCCCATCTCCGCTTCTCAGTCCATCTCTGCTTCTCAGACCATCCCTGCTTCTCAGCCCATCTTTGTTTCTCAGCTCATCTCTGCTTCTCAGCCCATCTTTGCTTCTCAGCCCATCTCTGCTTCTCTGCTTCTCAGCCCATCTCTGCTTCTCAGCCCATCTCTGCTTCTCAGCCCATCTTTGCTTCTCAGCCCATCTCTGCTTCTCAGACAATCTCTGCTTCTCAGCCCATCTCTGCTTCTCAGCC